CTTAGGGGTTAAGTTGGGTGACTTCACGCCAAGCTGGGGACGGATAAGAAACGCCGCAGGCCCCCTCCACCTGCCTGCCCGTGGAGAGTTGCATAGTCAGGCCGTGTTGTACAAGGTCCCAGAAAGAAAAGAAAAGAGAAAAAAAAAAAAGCGAGCGGTTAGGGTTTGTGGTCTGCATACTGTGAGCCCCGGGCGAGAACGCTAACCCGGAACCTGTGTGGGCGGGTGGCGACCAGGACCAGGGGTCAGACGTGGCGTCCCAGGGCGGTCGCTAAAGGTTTCAGGCTCCTGGGCTGCAGCGGGCGGGGAGGCGGGCACTTCCGACTCCCAATCCAGTGCACGTGGCTCTCCTCCCATTCCAGCTCCTTGCAGATGCTGGGAGGTGCAGCTTGCGCGACCTTGGCGACCTGGCCGCGGCTCGGCGGGAGGGCGAGGGGAGAATCCTGTCTGTGTGCGCAGGGGCCCTGACCAAGGCGCGGAGGGTGGAGGTGCAGGGCTGGGGAGGGCGGGGGTGGACGCAGGCCTTCACAGTGACACTGCGGACCCCACACCGTCTATTCTGCACAGCGGAGCCATCTCTACACCAGGTTATCCGCCTCCTAGACTTTCCTTCTCATCTCCCTTGGATCCTTGTCTTCACTGGGCATCACTCGTGGTCGCCCGGAGCCTTTACTCTGCGTCCCACACAGGCACCCACAGTGTGCGCAGGACTCATGGCAGTAAGTCACCTGACAGCCCTCATTCTTGCAAACGGAAAAGGACTCTAACAAGCCGTCAGTGTCCAGAAGTGTTTTCCTTCCCCAGTGTTTAGGTTTATGGGGGAAAAGGGTAAAAACAGTGGATATTAGGTGCAGTCCCGTGCTTCATTCCGGTAGTCGCCACTCTTCTGTTCTCACTGAGTCTCTTCACGTTCCTAGTCCGTTGGGGGCTATAGCTTCCACGGAGCCTGGGACCGTGCCCAGCACACCAGGACTCCTCATGTGACATAGGCCCACTGTCCTAGTCACTCAAGGGTTCCTTCAACTCTCTTTCAAGGAGGAGGCTTGTTAGCATTTAAGGAACAGAACAGTTTGACCTACACCTCATACAGCAAAATGAATGGATGAAATAATTAGATGTAGAAAATAAAATCAGGAAGGTACAACAGAATCCAATCCTACATCAAAGCCCTGGGAAAGTTCCATGGAGAGAATTTTCTGAGACAACCTGTGACAGGAGAAGTCACATGGGAAAGATCTGAGCCACAAAAGAATGTTAAATTGCTCTAGATGACGGTTGTGACCAAAGATTTAAAAACAACCAGATGGGGGAAATGTTCATGGTAAATCTGATAAAGGGTTAAAAATTCTAGCATATGTACAGTCCATGAAAAGGAACAAAAAAAGTACTGAGATAACCTCCCAAAAGTAAACTGCACAAGTGGCATGAACTGGCATTTCCCAACAGAAGAAATAAGGAAAGTAGATATAAAAAATGTATTAAAATGAGAAACCTTTAAAAATATTAAATTAACAAATATCAAGGTTGTATCAAATGCCAGTG